GACGTACACAGAAGCACCATAAAGAAAAGAGACCGTAAGTGAAAAATCGCTATAATAATACATTGAAAAAATTATATGGTACATGGGCCAAAGTAAGTGTTCGAAGTTTCTGCCACCGGCTACAATGTACACCTCACATCTCCGGCGCATGGACATTCGAACATTCTGCAATGCTCCAGGCATATCTCGCAGGCAGCTACTGCGATTCTTGCAACCAGCATTATCAACAGGGGTGTCATAAACCAGTGTTTTCATATGACTCCAGAAATCAGGACATGATAGGTCGGGTGACCGAGGAGGCCATATAATTTTTTCAATATTTTATTATTGCGATTTTTCACTTACGGTCTCTTTTCCTTATGATGCTTCTGTGTACGTCACCGCTTCAGGAAAGCATTTCCGACCCCACATTACTATACGATTTTGAGTCGTCAGGAAGCCCCCTACCCCTCCTTGAAGTTCTGAAACGCTTAACTGAGACACCCTGTATATATATATATATTAATTCAAAATAGAGTTCATACCAAGTCAGTATATCTACAATTAATTCAATTCATTTCTATATATTACATTGGTCTGCTATGTGCCAATTTATTCATGTTTCTAAAGAAATACGTGGCTAGTAAATATATCTGCAATTTATTCAGTTCATTGGTCTACTATGTACTAATTTATTCATATTTCCAAAGAAATACGGGGCTAATTAATATATCTGCAATTAATTCTACAATAAATTCATTCCCTTCCCTTATGTTAGATTGGCGTACGATGTGCCAATTTATTGATGTTTCCGAAGAAATACATGGATAGTTAATATTTTTACATTTAATCTACAATCAATTCAGTATATTCCTGCATATTGAATTGGTCTACTATGTACCAATTTTTTTTGTTTCTAAAGAAATACATGGATAATTAATATAGCTATATTTAGCATACAATAAATTCAGCTCATTCCTACATAAATTGGTCTACTATGTGCCAATTTATTCATGATTCCAAAGAAATACATAGCTAGTTAATACATATGCAATTAATCATAAACCTTTTTAAGTAACAGGGTGCTACTTTTTAACACAGATTATAAAAGTTGAGGAATATACTGCTTAAACATATAAAAAAATAGGTCACTTGAGTTACAATTGATTTTAGAAACTTCCGCGTGAAACAGAAGTACAGTTCGCATGTCTCTCTTCCATTAAATACTATCAACGGGTAATTCATTATTCATAAATTCGCATAAATCAGCGTAGTGTATCACCATAGGTGTTAAAGAGCCAAAGAACAATTCCCCATTTTCGTTCTTGGGCTACGATTTCGTCAAAGAATTTTCAGTTAGAATGTAATTTATTCCAAGCTTGATGATTTTTTTCAAGGTCTTTAGCAGGAATGGTAATGGTTTTTTCGTGAGCATTTGGGTTAGGAAAACTGAAGCTTTATTGACTGACACAGACATCATTACGGTAAAGAAGAAAAAAAATAGAAAAACCACCGCAAAATAGCTTTCTTTCATGAATACATTGAATGTTTAGGCTTAGGACGAGGATGAATAACTTAGAATGCTTTATGGTGCGATTAAAGATTTTATGATTAAAATAGACTGGGGTAAATGGTATTTGTCGTAATATTTTCGTAATCTGCAATTTACTTAATTAAAGTTAATTTCGATGATAATTAAAAATTGCTGAGTTATACGCTTGGTTTGAATAGAATATGCAAAGAAGCAAAAATATATTTTATCGTTTTAAATGGATCAATTTAATATCTACGAAAACGTTCCATGTCTAATTAATATTTTATGTGAGATGAAGTCGATGAAGAACAATTAAATTATATTTTTAGCTGTAACTTTGATATAAAATAATTGCTTTGAGTGAATAGCTTAATGAATATGCTGGTGTATGCGCATAAGTCATAGTCATATGCTAGTTTTGTATCCCGGGATCTTTTTGGCTATTGGTTTGAAATGAATCAGTGTGAGCCAATATTCTTTAGTGTTTTTTATTTAAACTTAACGAAACGATAACAAACAAAAGACTGAAGAGAAAAGTTATGTATCCTTACAGATGCGCACACTGCGCCATCTATCGCAAGGTAAAAATTTAATTTAATGGAAAGAAGATGCAACATGTATGCGCATAAATCAAAATGCAAATTTGCAATAGCACATACTCAAAGATTCTATAAACTACAGATGGCTTAAGAATGGACAGGAAGGAAAGTTCACTACAGCATTGTGGATCGTAAAACCCATATTTTTATTTACATTTAGCAGGAAGTAAGCAAAAACTACAAGCTGCAATGACACAACAAATAAGTCATTGAGCTGCTATTGTGAATGTCCATGATTTAATTCCTGTTAAAACCCACCTTGTTTCGTGTCAATGTGTATCAGTTAGTTTAAGAAGTAGAGGCAGCTGATGTGAAATGCTAAACACTGTCGTGTCACGTCTTTGGACTCAAAATTGTGGTATTTTTACCTTAATGACTTCTGTTAATTGCGGGAATGCTTTATTTACTCGGGTTTGATAACATCGTTTTCTTTGAATGTTATAATAATTTATAAACATAATTTGTAATAATATATAAAAACTCATCAATGCAATTTATAAGATTCTCTATTACTTGTTGACTTTTGAATCAACTCATAAAATTGAGACAGTTGAGTACAGTGTAAAAACCACACTGTCATGGTTTTCTCATTTTTAATGTAGTTCTTAGAGTTCTCATATTTTTAATGGAGTTAATAGATTGAGCTTTTCAAACTAGTTTCTTTTCATTCCTCTTCTTAGGCGATACAGCCGGTTACCGGTCAAGGCTATCTCAGTTGATGTAGATGTGTTAATAAGAAAGAAAAAACATTGGTATTTACATATTT